TTAACCAGGGATTGAACTCAGGACCTTGTGCCAAGCACTTAAGCCACTGAGCTATCTCCCCAGTTCCTTACTGCTTCTTAAACTTGATCTTGAGTCTCTTCATGCTGGTCCTATTATGGATAGGATCCAGAATGTCAGCCAAAAGCCTCATTGTGTGTGTTTGCGTGTTTAATGTATTACAGGGTCTACAAGGTCTCATTACATAGAATGGACTCAGCGTGATCCCGTTTTCAGTCTTCCAAACACTGGGATTACAGATGTACACCACCACACCAGCTCAATCAGCATGCCCCAGGGGCAGGGCCAGCAAGGCTTGTGGTGCTGGGGATCTAACCTGGTCCCTGCGCTCTGCCTAAGCTGGGCTTTAGTCCCCTGAGCTATCTAGCTGGCCCTTAGCTTCATTGTGTTGAAGGCTTGGTTGCCAGCTGATGGGAGGTAAGGAACTGAATGTGTCATGAAAAGTTTAACACCACCAAGCAGATTCTTTTTTTTTTTTTTTTTGGTGGTGTTCCAAGTTTAATGGGCTTATTGGGAAGTAACATTTAATAGGACAAGGCTAGGCATGTCTTTGAAGCGTTATGTTACCCTTGATTCCTCCTTCTCTTTTCCAACCCTCTACTTTCTGTGCCATGAGATAAGCAGTGTCCTCTGCTCTATCTGGATGAATATGCCTTGGAGCCAATTGCCAGGGAACGAAACTATAGGCAAAAATAAGTATTTTCTCCTTTAAATTATGTCAGGCATTTCGGTCACCATGAAAACGTAACTCATAAAGCTTCTGATTTCCTGTAATACATTCTAGTATCTCTCAGAAAGATAGGAAAGCAGCTTTTATTAATTCTATATAAAGACACAGATAGACTCCAGAAGGTGGGGGTGGGGGCATCCTCTGACCTAAGACAATGGGAGGCTGAGATTTTAGGGACTTCTGCCAAGGGCAGAGTTTGAAGGGCAGGTTTAGTGACACCTAAGGAGGTGATTGGGGTTTCCCTTGTGGTGCAGGAAAAGTGAAAGGAAACTGTCTCTAGGACTGTTAGTGCAAGATCTTTTTCCAGGATTAGGTAAGCTGTTCAAATGCATAGACTTATCTTGAAAAAGTGTAGGAAACTCCAAAGGAGACCTTTTAGACTTCAGTTGGGATGTAGAATCCTAACCTGTGATGTACTGGTCTGTTCTGGGGGTCTGGTTTAAGGTACAATCTTTTTCTCCCTTGTATCTTGGCATAAAATGTCAGGTAATTCACTAAATAACTAATTCCCAGGTATGAGTTTTATATAACTTCATGTTATTCTTCTTTTGCAGTGCTGGGATGAAACCCAGAGTTTCCAGCACACTCATCAATCTACCACGGAACTTCATTCCCAGCCATTAATTCATACTTCATATTGATATTCATATTTGGCTAGAAAACAATATTTAGCACAATCCAGTCACAAAAATAAGCAAAAAACAATTATGTACAGATTATATCAAGAAAAACTACCAACCCAGGTGAGAATTTACAGAACGTATCAGGATGTTCTTTAACAATGAAAGGTAATTACATCTCATGCAACGAGGTCACAGCAGCTCGTTTCAGGAATAATATTTTCTTCCAATCCTGGGAATGGAACCCAGATGCTAGTACATGCTAGGCAAGTGCTCTAAGTTACACCTCAGCCGTTAGGCCTAGTTCTTAATCCATCTCCTGTTTAATTCTCTGAGCTCATTTTTTTTTTTT